AAGTTTCAGGTAGTTGTTAACATATTGCTGGTCTCATTGCCGCGCCCAAAAAAATTATCGGTTCATTTTCTTGTTGGGTTTATTCACGCAGAATTTTCTGGCTATGGGTTAAGAAAAGGTTTGAGTCACTTAAGAAAGAGGAAGGACCCAAGCACCTATACGGAGCTAGGTGAGAAAAAATATCCTCATATATGGTGTCAGTTTCTTGCCCTCAGTGTAACATTTAGAATGGAATCTTTGCACAGAGTAACTCTAGGGAACAGGGAGTAGTTCTTTGGTTCCTTCTTGGTAAAATACTAATTTGGTATCATTATTTTTATAGTCCTCTCCTGTGTGATCTTCTCAGTTTGCAAAAAATATTTCATGTAGCAAGTCCTCTACCTATCCAGTAGTAGATGGATGTTTTCCAAAAGTTCACTGTGCCCAGGTTGATGCTTTAAACGGCTGTGTTGTTTCCTCTTGAGGCTAGATAGTTACTTGTTGCCTTTGTTGTGGCATTTTTACTTATGGGAGGACAAAGTTAACAAAACAGTAGGCAAACAGAGTAGTAGTATATGGTAGTATGGAGCTATTTCCATTTCAGATTCGAAGTGAGATGGGTTCAATCCAGTACGTTACCTTTCTGCCATGAATATTTAAGAACATATAGACTATTTCAAAGTACCAAAATTCCACCTACATGATTTCTTCAGATTCAGATACCAAAGCAACATGCTTTTTCTGGGTATGCATTACATGGAGCAGAATATGATGAAATACACATTTGGACACCGGTAATTTATTATATCATGTTATATGTCCACCTACTTGCATCTTGAGCTATCTATTTAATACTCCATCCATCCTGTATTATAGTGTAGTCTAGAGAGTTTAGGACAGCTCACTTCATTTCACACTCATCGGTGTGATTGATGGTAAGGCTGTCCAATAAGAAGCTGGAGTGCAGGATAAAGATTGGAAAACTCAAGCAGATATGAACAGGGCCGACGACATAGTGGTGCTTGTGATTTTGTTTAGCAATTATGTGTGCCGTATTATATGGAATCAAGATTTGCTTCTAAAAAGAATATGGAACCAAGATTAAGTTTTATTCATCTAAGATTATGTAATATTTACCTTTGGAGAATACGTGATAAACAAACGATGTTGATTGTGATTTTGTTATTAATGTTTAAAATAATATTTACCGTTATGCTTCGTCTCATTATCAATGCATGAAGCAATTCTTTAATCAACTTGCTCAAATTCAAGGTTGTGAAAAAAAGTTCATGATAGGGCGCCCAAAGGCGCCTGATGTTCTAGTCTATTTTTAAAGCCAGTTGGTTGCAAAACCACCACTAGAAATGTTTGAGCTTTGACCCGTACAGGATAAACTCATTGTATAAAGGGTATCTTTTAACAAAATTAAAACATATACATTTTAGTACAGCTCTTCTTTTCTAAAACATTTTTAGAACGTGAGCCTACCTCAAGTGGATGTGTTCGAGTCCTACCCTTGCTGGTTTTTTTTCTTTTGCTTAAATTGAGAAACAATTCCGTCAGAGAGACTTGAAAGAATATTTTTGTGCTTTGTATAAACAAGCCTTTTTTGGCATCCATGTTGGCCCTAATTAAATGATGTCAGAATACGTACGTTGGATGTTGACCTGTTCGCAAATAGTTTAGGTTGTCTTATTCAGAGACATTTTATTAAGCAACTTGTACAAAATATGTAGCAAGCTGTAAAATATCAAGGGCAATAATTCAAACTGTGCTCCTAAGTCATAAACATCAGATTAAGAACTAAGGTGCCAACTAATGTTGTAGAAAAATTGTGTCTACAGCTTCCTAGGCGCCTAACCATGATGGGGGACTCAATATATTTGTTGATAGATATATACGGCAACAACTACCCCTGATCTGATCTACTTATCCTTTATCCTTTTAGGCATTGACGAGGTATCTATTTGGGAGAGCTCCACCAGTCTAGATCTGCAAAAAAATTGCATCACCCCACGAATTACAAGCGAAACGTCTCAGTTCCACGAAATCCACATTTGTAAAAAAAAACACATGGATTTAGGGGGGCCATATTCATGGTATTTATGTTGAAAACGGTGACTAGTTTTACTTGACCATTACTTTAACGTAGTATACTTTTATATATCTTAAATTTATATAACATAATGAAGTAGAAGTATTTGTGTTGAAATCTATTACTTGTTTTATGTGAAAATGATAAATTTATGTGTGTTGTCGTCATTGTTAGAGGACATCTATTTGCGTAGAGGAGGGATAGCGCCGTTCGGAACCGATTACAATCGGATTCTCAGCCACCACACGTCCACACCGCGAGAATAATAAAAAGCCATCAAACGTCTCGCAGTATCGATGATTATTTTTACCATGCAAAGACTCACCTGCCGCAAGAATCAACCCGGAGTCTGATTTCTCGTACCGCGGACTCTTCGACCCTAGCTATGTTACCGTACCGTGCGGTCGCAGAACACATACCCAATCAGGGCCAATAAATTGTGTATGGCCAGTTTCTGTCATATTGGTAGCTTTTTCCCTCATTTGTTTGTTCCGTGTTACTGATAGTAACTTTTGTGGGGAGATGGAGACCGGAGAATTTTTATTTAATTTTATTTGAGCCTCGTGACTCTCGTCCATTGAATCAGGGACCGATTATATGCACTGCCTAAATGTTGTTGATCAGTCAACTAGTTTTCTTTTCACATACCAAGCGGGAGAGAGACTACGAAGCTAAATTTTGGTGAGATTTGGCTGATTGACACTGAAGTAAATCAACATCTAATAGCGGAAAAATTGTTAGGTACAGCATCGTCGATATCGGAAATGATAAGACGCGAGTGTCTGTCCCGCTTACGCCTGCGGACCGGCCGGCCCATGCTCTTGTTGCCCGCTCCGCCTCGCTACTCCTACCTCTTTTTCTTCTTCGCTGCCTAAGCGCCCTCTTTGGAGGCCGCATTGGGATATGATACATGTTGCAAGCTCACGTTTCACATGTTCGCTGTTTTCGTGTTGTCGACGTTGCTGCTGTTGTAAGAGTCTCCCCTCCTCCTCCATCCATGTGATAGAAGAATGTAGATAAATTTTTGTAACTGCCTAAATGAAAACGGACCAATAGCTCATGCTACTCGTAAACTTTATAGATGACAAAGAAATACGCTGCTCCTAATATTTCTACTAGCCTAGCAAATTGAAATCAAGTTCGCTCGCCCATCAACTAGACATTGCTTTCTAGCTTATTTTGAAAGATTGGGTTAAGGGGTGGTGTAGTGTTATAGCTCGATTTGGTAGTCTCCTTGAGCATGTGAAGATGGTTTAGTTCAAGAGCCGCCGCTTAGTTTTTATAGGCGCTTTAAAATTCGTGCACGACTGCTTAGTTGGCTGCGTGGGCCGCCGTTCAGCGCCCATCGCTGCTCCTACTCTGCCACCTTTGGCCGCTGGTCGGCCCGACGACACCGCGGTGCCTTAAAGCCCCGCTAAGGAGAAGCATCACCTGCCTGTCTGCGCTCCGATCTCGCGCCATGGCCCATGGTGGAGGCCGCATTGGGATATGATACATGTTGCAAGCTCACGTTTCACATGTTTAAGATGTTTTAAAGGTATGTTGCAAATCCACGGTTTCAACATCACGTTCCACGCTTTTCATCACGTCCTTCTCATTGCCTACGGATGTTGAGTTTCTCCACAAAAGGCCGTGTTCGCCATGATCGGGCAGATGTTGCACCATGTGTTCCCTCTCCACCTTGCGCACGCGATCGGTGACGTCGCCTCCCTTCATCGGCCGACGCGACCGTGCCACCATGCGCCGCTTTGTCTTCCGTATGTTGTAAGAGTCCAATTAGTCATCTAATGTTTCATCTGTTTGGAGACGTGTGTTGCAAGCATATTTATTTATATGTTGCATATGTTTTCACACACATGTTGTAAGTGTTTTATTTGGATGTTGTGTATATTTGCAATGGTTTTCAAGCGTTTTTTGCCCGTGTTTCAGATGCATCTTTCAAATGTTTTATCTATCTTTTTTTTTATATCGCACTATGAACTGCGTATTGTAATAAATAATTTTCAAGAATATTTGGTAAAAATGGAGATCGTAAGTTCGTTCTGGACATGGATTGTTTTGAGTTCACCCTTGGATGTGCTCGACGATACACGCGTATCTAGTGGAAGATGAGTGTCTAGAGGACGCGAAGTCGTCCCTATTTTCGGACATGTGTTGTAAGCATGTTTATTTGGATGTTGCATATGTTTTCGCGAGCGAGTGCGACGTTCGGTGGTTTTAAAGGCGCGGGCCCCGTGTTTTATGCCACAAGATACAGGCAGGCGTGGACGAGCAACGTTCAGTCGGCGCGGGCGCATACGTGGACGCAGGAAAAAGGACTGCAACCGCGGACGTCCGTCCGGGCGTCCGTCGGAACCGGGCGCTAGCAGTTCCGCATCAATATTACAGGATGACAAATCGTTAATGATGAAAAAAAAAATCTCACAAGCACACAGCAACATTTCAATGAGCGGATACAGATCCCTGTGTGTTGGTCTTCAAGGTTACAAAAGGAGCCCGGCCGAGATAATGAAGTCCCAACTCCCAGTTTCCAAGTCTATTTCTAACTTCAAAAGCAGATACGATGATATCTCTATGCTCCCAAATCCCAAGTCCCAACCTCCGAATATGTTCGTTCAATTATTTGCATTCTTTGCGCATTTTTATCGACTGGCTATCATTCAAATGGCGTCCTAGTTTTTTGTGTTTTTTTTTTAAAAGTCAGAACAGATTGCTGGATGCCTTCGACTTCTTTATTTCCAGTTCATTATTAGTGGCATCCACGGGACCACTGCTGAATTAGATTAGTACATTTTCTAGGGCTTTTCTAGGGCCGGTTGAAATGTGAGTTTCCTACATTATCTGCTTGCACCAGCTATAATAAATGCACTTGACTCAGCCTACAAGAGCAAAAACTTTCAGGCTCTGTCGCGTACTCGCGTTAGCAATGGCTGCCTCTTGGTCTCCAGAGGCAGAGACCCAAAAGCTTCCTCACATTGCCATCTTCCCGTTCCTTGCCAAAGGCCACACCATCCCGCTCATCCACCTCGCCCACTACCTCCACCGCTACGGCCTCGCCACCGTCACCTTCTTTACCACCGCCGGCAACGCTGGCTTCATCCGGGAGGGGCTGTCTGGCGCGGACGCGGCCATCGTCGAGCTCACCTTCCCAACCGACGTCCCAGGCATCCCACCGGGCGTCGAGAGCGCCGAGGGACTCACGTCCCTGGCCTCCTTCGTCGTCTTCGCCGACGCCACGTTCCTGCTCCTGCCACAGCTCGACGCCTCCCTCGCTGAGATGCAGCCGCCCGCGAGCCTGCTCGTCACCGACCCGTTCATGCACTGGACGAAAGCGCCGGCGGCGAGGCTCGGCGTCCCGAAGGTGTCGTTCTTCGGCATCTCGGCCTTCGCGCAAGTCATGCGGGAGGTGCGTGTTCGCCACGACCCGTGCGCCACGCTGCGGCCCGACGACGTCGACGCCGATGGCAACCCGGCACCTTCACTGTGCCGGAGTTCCCGCACATCAAGCTCACCTTCGAAGACTTCATGGCGCCCTTCGGCGACCCTGCGTCCATAGCGCCCATGTTGGAGCTCGACGGTAAGCTGGGCAAGGCCATAGAGGAAAGTCAAGGCCTCATCATCAACACCTTCCATGGCCTAGAGGCTCCGTACCTTGACTTCTGGAATCAGCATGTTGGGCCCAAGGCCTGGCCCATCGGGCCACTCTGCCTAGCCCAACCAACATCAGCCAGGCCCAAGGATGGATTGAGCTAGTGCCCACTTGGATGGAGTGGCTTGATGACAAGGCGGCGGCTGGTAGAGCCGTCCTGTATGTCGCTCTGGGGACACTAGCTGCCATCCCAGAGTCACAGTTGAAGGAGGTCGCGAATGGGCTAGAGCGGGCTGAGGTGGACTTTATATGGGCTGTTAGGCCCGAAAACATTGACCTCGGTTTGGGTTTTGAAGAGCGTACAAAGGAGAGAGGTTTGGTGGTGAGAGAGTGGGTGGATCAGTTGGAGATTCTAAACCATAGCAGTGTACAAGGGTTCTTGAGCCATTGTGGGTGGAACTCGATACTCGAGAGTGTGACAGCCGGTGTGCCATTAGCGGTTTGGCCTATGCATGCTGATCAACCTTTCAATTCAAGGTTCTTAGTCGATGAGTCAAGATCGCTGTAAGGGTCCATACAAGTGAGATAGGACAATTAGAGGTTTGGTCACAAGCGAGGAGATTTCGAAAGTGGTGAGGGCTCTCATGCTAGGCGAGGAGGGGGTGGAAGCAGTGAAGAGGGTGGTGGAGTTGTCAGCTAGTGCTAAGGAGGCTATGGCAGGAGGGCCATCATTGAAATCTCTAAAAGAGATGATAAGTGAGTTGAGCCTAATGAAGCTGAATGGGAATGAAGAGGTAAGCCAGGAGGACAAAGTGGATGCTTAATTAGTGTTTGTTCTAAGTTGTCTATTGTTTATTTTCTTCACAAATAACTGGATGGAGGCAGGAAGAAAAACCAGGTTTGGTTATGAACTGTGAAGAGAATAATTTCTCTGTGAACGATAGATCTTCCATCCATATTTGAGAAATATAATTTGCTTTGCATTTAAGGATATGATTTTTTTTGAACCAAGAATATCACATTTTTTTAGGAATTCCATTTAAAGATATTTGTTCTTGCCTCGAGATAATAATTAAATGTGACGCTCAATTCACCTTGAGTCTATGACCTTATCATGGCTTGGACGACATCTGTTGGCAGAAGCAGTTTTGCTGCTGTGGTAAATAAATTTGCCACTGGTGCAACACTTTATTTTCAGTAAAGTATACGTTGATAAATCAGCTCACAGATCACATCATTCAAACAGCAATGCCTCTGTTAAGCTGAGCAAAATGTAGGTCAACATGTTTGAGAGCATAAAAAACTATGCGGCCCAAAAATTTGTGTACCCCGCTTGGTGAAATACATATACTTAATTTGTACATGCAAGGATTTGTCACCAAACATTGCAGTGCAATATGCTCATCTAGTCCTAGCACAAATGGAACGAGGTTCTTTGCTGAGGGCCGGATACGCTCGGCAAAGAGGCCCTTGTCCTCGGCAAAGGCTTTGCTGAGAGTTGCTCTCGGCAAAGGACAGTCGGCACAGTACCTCACGACAAAGGCTGCTTTGCCGAGAGCCGCATCTCGGGCTCCCGGCAAAGGATTTGCCGAGGGTTAGCCGGCCGTCGGCAAAAATTTCGCCGTGATGGCGAGAGGTCACGGTAAAGTTGATCTTTGCCGAGAGCCTTAGCAAGCTCTCGGCAAAGAATTTCTGAATTTTTTTTCCAAAACACTTTGCCGAGCGTCTGTCAGAATGGCTCTCGGCAAAGAATATTGACAATTTTTTTAACCATCTGTTTGCCGAGAGCTATGGCTCAGCTCTCGGCAAAGGCTTCCTCTTTGCCAAGGGCTATGGTCATGCGCTTTCGGCAAAGCTGGGATTCTATGTGTTCCAGATTCCCACTTTTGAGAGGGCATGACCATAGCCCTCGCAAAGCTCCAACCCGATTTTAATTTTTTTTTTGTTTTTTGCATTTCCAAAAACAAATAAACATATATATGACATCCACATCACAATAAGCACATCCACATATCAATAACCACATCCACATCACATAATTCACATCCACATCACATAAAAGTCTCAAGTTCAAGTCACAAACAAATCTCGACACATAGACAACCACAAGTGTAAAGTTCGACAAGCAACATAAACAAAGAGGCATAGGAGGCGCCAAACTGGTCACGGCGACGGTCCGGGCCGAGAAGGCACCGCGTCATGCGATCCCGGGAGTTGACGAGGAGAAGGTTAGGGTCGCTCGACGCCGACCGACGCCTACACAAACAAAGAAGATGCGAACGTGTTAGACAACATAAATAGATAACCAAGCACTACATGTACTTTTTACCACCACGACCACACCACCACCACCACCACGCCACCACCACACTACTACTACCACCACCAACAAGCACACCACCACGCCACCAGCACCACCACCACCACCACCACGCCACCACCACCACCACGCCACCACTACTACCACCACCAACAACCACACCACCACGCCACCACCTCGACCAACCACGTAGCCACCACCACCACCACGACCACGCCACCACCACCACCAACCACGCCGCCACCACCACCCACCACCATCACCACTAGCACTAGGTTTCACTAGGTTTTACTAGGTTTCACTAGGTTTGACATTTAGATAAACTAAAACATTTGTCATACTCACCGGAGTAGAATCAAGCTGAGGTGGAGGTGTAGCCTGCAGCTGACCGAGCAGGAACTGTGGGACCGTTCCACCTTGGGTCATCGCAAGACCCCGCACTTTGGAGAGCACCCCTGCCATCTGCCGCTGATCCTGCTCTTGCTTGGCCTCTAAAGCTGCTAGCCTCTGCCGCTCGAGCTCTCGCTCGGCCTCCAAAGCTGCCAGCCTCTGCCGCTGCTGCTCCCGCTCGGCCTCCATCGCCTGTAGCTGTGCCTACAACATTTGACGCCAATGTTTCAAGATTGCAGAGCTAAGGTATGTAAAAGTCAAAGAACTAGGAATGGAAGAGAACACTTACCTGGAGTGTCGACACCACGGTCGGGCGCTAGCGTATGGCCGGCATAGAGCTTGTGCTTGCTGCTCGGATCTGGTGCAGCGGAGGAACAGAGGTCGTGTCGAGGACACCGTCGCCAAGCTAGAACCGCCCATGCTTCTTGCCTTGCCCCACCCTCATCGCGAGCTCTGGATCAAGCCGCTCCTCGATGGTCGGGTCGTAGTCTGGCCCGTGGACTGACCTTGCCATCTCTGTGTACGCAGAGATGCGAGGGGCAATGCTGGCATTGGTGAACGACTCGGCAGGGACTTCTGGGGTCCAGTCGGTGGCGGCCGTCGCCTTGCCCAAGTGGGACAAGGCATATGCCTTGAGGTGACCACAAGGGCGGCCACCATGTGACTCCGACTACGAGAAAGACAATAACATTGTTAGAGTTGTTGCAGAATTGAGTGTTAGGTTAGAGAAATGGTTTCGCCTTACCCAAGCTTCTGAGAATTCGGAGAGGTTGCGGCTGCCTTGATGGTGTGGTACTCCTTGCATCAGCAAACGGCGCTCGTGTGCTTCATCATGCTCCTTCTTCTAGTCTTGGCTGAGCCACATGTCCACAATCCTCTCCCAGGCATCCAGATGCCGATTGCACCAGTTTGGAATCGTCTACAGGCCATCAAGCAAACGATATATCAGAAGATCAAATTAAGGAAACTTAATCTCAGAAGAAATCAATAGTAATGTTCCGTATTTACCGCAAGGTACTCCTCCTTGGTTAGCACCACCTAACTTGCCTCATCCTTTTTGATGCTACGCCCTTTGACCTTTGCGTAGTGCCAAATGTGCGCCTGATGACGCGTGTCGTGAATCATGTCCATGACGCACTTCTTACAAGAAGCGATCGCCACCTGGTACGCCCTGTGCTCCTTGCCCTCCTCGATTCTAAAGAAATCCTGCATAAAGGCGCGAGGTATCAATTACTTATTAGAAGAATGCCCAATGAATACGATGTATCTGTGGTTAAAAGAATACAATGTGTGCCTGAAAGACTTACCGATAGGTCCCTAACGACCTGCTCCGCCTTGTTCCTGTATTTGTGGCCACTACGATCCATGGCATCGGCGGCCAATTCGTAGTGGTCGAACTGAGTGGCCGGCTCGAACATGTCCGGGCTCACCTCCACCAGGCCAGGGTAGTGCTCCCTACACAGACCTCCTAGGATGCCATTCACTTTGTGTGCCTTGGCTCCAGTCTCCACAAGTTTCCAGTTCCTGCACAAGTGATTACAAAAAGTATTAGTTTGTATTTTGATTTTCAACATTTCAAATGAAGAAGTTTCGAGCACATCTTAAGTTACTTACCTATCCCCATAGGGTGTGATCAGTGGGCGGGCCGCTTCAGGTATTGGTCGACGTGGGAGCTTCGCGGGACCACACAAGTACACCGTCGACACACTAGAGGAAGTGGATCCCCCTGCAGTCGCCTCGTCCCCTACAGTCGCCTCGTCCCCTGAGGTGGAGGAGGACCCCCCTACATCCGCATGCTCCATCATGGCGGCAGGCTCCTCCATGGCCGCAGGCTCCTCCATGGCTGGAGGGGTAGTCGGCTACGTCCTGCTCGGACGCCTGTGGCTCCTCCGCCTCGGCACCGGCTCCGGAGGCTGAACCGACGCCTCTGGCTCCTCCTGGCTGGCGTAAAGAGACTGGACGGACCTCCTGGGTGGCATCTCCTGCATTAAAAAGAACAAAACAATTAGCATATATAAACGATACATAATTAGAAAGAGATGCAAAATGAAGATAATTACATGCAAAATGAATATAATTACAAAAACAGATAATATTACATGTATTAGAAACGATCTCCACGATCAGGATTAGCTGGATTGTACATATCGTCATCGCTATCAACCATGTCCAAATCTTCATCCGCCTCCTCATCATCACTATCAACACCTAAGTGTAATCGGTCAAGGAACACTATGTCCTTTGGATTTTCCACCTCATCTCCAGAGTCCTCGTGCACAACCCTTTCGATGTCTGTCTCCATTTTGACTAGCCCGGTTAAGTCTATCTCAAAGCTCCCTTGTAGCCCCTCTTCGTGTTGATAGAACTCTCCATCATGTGTTTCTGGGTTCAAGTTGTAATCTTCATCGTTTAGGAGAGGTAGTCTACCGTGCGGCAATATTGTGTGAACAACATACCAACCCTTAAGGTTTTCCTCGGTTTGGCAAGCATATGGACTATAATAGACTTGCTTGGCTTGTGTGGCCACAATCCATACATCATCACCTTCATAGACGGAATCCTGTTGAGTCTCGACTAGCCCAAGATGAGGGTACTGTCTCGATACCTCAGGATCAAACCACCGGCATTTGAATATGACAGGACTAAAAGGTTCGGCTCCATGAAATTGGAGTTCATATATTTCTTCAAGTATCCCATAATAGTCCTTGCCATCAGTTCCGGGCGTCATAACTCTGGTATTTGTGGTCCTTCGATGTGGCCGACTCTGCTCGTAGCTTGTTGTGTGAAAGCGATACCCATTGACGTCATAAACGTTACATGACATGACCCTAAAGTTGAAGCCATCGGCAACCTGCCGC